CAAACATCACATCGAGGGCTGTCCTTCTGCTTCCCAGTGCAGCCACAGTGTCACAGAGTTTGATCTGTGCTATCTAGCATCTCCCCTGGGGGCTCCTGCTGGCCACCCCTCAATCTGCTCTCTCTTCTTCTTCAGTGTTCCTCATGAAAAGCTCATTGTGCCCCAACCCAGCAGTCAGAGCAGCAGCACAACTCTGCCATCCATCCTCTACTTCCCTGTGCTTTCGGAGAGGCTACTGGCTGCCAGCCCATTTCTCTGCAGCCCTCATGGGAAATCTAGCTTCATTCTGGAGAGCTATACAGAGTCATGGCATTTGTCTTCCTCTGTTATGGCCTTGCCATCATCTTTAATCATGATTTCTTCCCTGCCATCCCCAGAACATTTGGTTTTGCTAATCTTCTCCTGCTGTTGTCCTCTCAACATCATCTCATGGTCATTGGTTTTCACTCCTCTCAGTTTCTGCCCTTTTATGCATCATCATTAGCTAATTTTCAGCCTCACCATTTGTCTAAATACTTTCCCAGATCTACTGGAATATGTTTTCCAGACATTGACCAAGGAGTGGTGACAGGCTCATCGTATTTACATGCCTTTGGTGCTCCTTCCCAGATGAAGCTCTGATGACTTCTGTTAGGACCTCATCCATCCTTGATGCCCTTTTGCAGCTCACATCTACCACTATGGTTATTTATGATTATGGTAATTCCAAGATGCCCAGCTCTCAAGCATCTGAAGCCATTTATGCATAGTACATTTTTTACCTAAGGGAACAGCAACAAAGCTCCTGCCCACTCTCTCTCTCACCACTCTCATTGGCAACCACCAAACCCAGAGGGGTTTCCCTAGCAGTAAGTGGGAGCCACCTTCCTGCTTTCCTTCTCATCCTCACTGAAGCAGAGCCAGAGACCAGGTTCAGTTTGTTGGAAAAGACCTACTCTTCCCTGCAATGCTTTGTGCTTTGCCCAGCTTACTCAAGGAGCTTTCCCAATTGTCATCCATCTAAAAAGATGGCCATATGGAGGCACCTTATGCAAAGCTCATTGAAGTCAGTGGGGAAAAAATACACTTTTAACGTTACCCAAGGACAATGGCAGAATTATAAAAGACACAGAGGACAAACTAGAAAAGGAGACAAAGGTGATGAAAAAATATGGGGTTGCATCTGTGCAAGAAATGATGAAATGTAAGAAAGCTCTCCAGCCTGAAATAGACATGGCCAAGGGAAGCTGTGATCATAAGAAAGCTCTCCAGCCTGGAATAGACATGGCCAAGGGAAGCTGTGATTGACAGGCATGGAGAAAACAAATACCAATAATAAATGTCACGATAAAACAAAACCCAAAGAAAGCATAAACTGTGGAACTTCTTGCCAGAGGATGCAGGTGGATTCAAACGGTGATTGGGGAGATAAAACCTGTATAGTATTAGTAAACACAGAGTTGCTGCATGCAGTGATTGGGGAGATAAAACTTGTACAGTATTAGTAAACACAGAGTTGCTGCATCTGGGGAGGCTCACGCATCATACAGCAGGGAAACAGCACCTAAAGCTTCTCCAAGGATCTGGTGCTGGTTGCTGCTGACTGTTGTGGACTCTCTTCTGGCTCAGGACATTGATCCTTCTCTTCTTGAATCAATAAACCCTAAATGCAGCAGAGACACACAGGACAAACAGCACACAGAGCCAGGCAGTGGCTTTGTAGTCAGCAAGCCTTTTGGAGGAGAGGGAGCAGAAACCATTTTCAGTTGCAACTGGGGAGCTGGCTGACAAACCAGTTTCCTGCTCTTCCTGTCCCACAGGAATGACAACTGTGGAGGTGTCAACAGGGAGGAAAGTGAAAATGAAGCTTTATGCAGAAACTGCACAATACCTTTTACTTCATCTCTAGAGTTACTGTGATCTTCCATATTCCTCAGTGAGAAAATTTTTTTACTTCATCTCTAGAGTTACTGGAATATCTTCCATATTCCTCAGTGAGAAAATTTGTTTCCCTTTAGACCATTTTTATATCTGACATTTCTTTCTCTTCTTTTGCCTGTCCTCTCTCCCTCTCTCTTTCTCACCTGCTGTTCTTCAGGGTCTTCTCTCTTTGTCTCTCCACATGTTCTTTCTGTCAGTATTCCCCAATGTCAACTAGGTCCCAATTCCCTACTCTGAAGGCATAGAACAATAATGAGAGGAACAGTTCATGTTGAGCTGCCACCACTGGCCTTCACAGCTGCCATGAAATGAACAGGAGCCAAGGAAGGTCCCACTGCTGGAGGGAGTAGCAGGCTCTGCAGCACCTTCTGATCATGCTTTGCTTTGGCTTTGGTTCATGACCAGAAGTGTGTCTTGGAAACCAAAGGAAAACATGCTGTAAAGAAGTCTGAAAGCAAAAACCTGAGGTTCAGCACTATCTTACTGGCTCATCTGTGATGTGTCAACACCTCTCAAGGGTCACATCTGATATGCTGGTGGGTGTGTTTGGTGTTTCCATCCAAAATACACAGCTTCTCCAGCACATTCTTCCCATCCACTCAGCACCTCAGCAGCGTGACCCTGAGCAAGCACTGGCACAGAGCACCTGGATCTCCTGGGAATGAAAGTGTGCCTCTACCCAGCAGTGAATGGGATAGGGGGAGGAAGTGATGGGGGATAGATCCAACCTAGGTGACCCAGGGCTGCTGCAATGGGGTTGGAAAGCAGAGAGGAGAGGGCCAATCTGTGGTGCCAGGCCTGGGGTGCAGCTGATTAATTAGAGATGAGTCTCTGCTTCACTCAGCTTTACTGGCAGATGCTCTCACTGGGCACAGTTGCCTGTTTCCCCCCAAGGCTGGCTCTCCAGGAGAGCCTGACAAGTTGCCTTGTCATGCACATTTTGATTTGGGTTTGGAAAATTTCCATGAGGCTGGAGGAATTCAATATCTTTGTATCTCTTTCAAATTTAGCTGAAATTTGACATAGTCCAAAATTCTTTTGAGGAGCAGGCACAGACACAGAGTCCCATAAACTTTGGGTTTTTAGGGCACTCACCTAAATACATGTTAAAAGACACCAGGTCAGGGAGCTAAAAGCAAGAAAATATTCTTGTGGATGCCCAGCTACAGGCACTTTCATTTGTGGTCAAGCATATTGATGCAGGGGATATATCTGACAGCTGGCCACACCAACATCCTCCTAATTTGGGGTGTTTGAGTTAATCTGCATTGATTACCCTCCCCTTTCCCCCACAGTGAGGGGCTCTCAGCTGCACCTCATTCCCAAGAGCTGCAAAGGCCCCTAATATATTACTGGCAATAAATACTTTGGACTCCTCTGTCACCTTCTGTCTGAGGATCTCAACAGGCTTTGCAAGAAGTAATTAGTGCTGCTCAGAGCTCCCACTCACACAGGTAGAGCTATTTCTGCTTTGGATATGGGGAAAATGAGGTGAGCAAACAGGAATGTTATGATTGGGTCACAGAGGGGCTGAATCATTCAGTGCAGAGAGACCACAGGACCATGACAATCTGGCTGTGGAAAGCCTACTCATCTGAATTTCTTTGCCCTCAACAGTGTTGCTAGTAATAGAGGAAAAGACAGCTTTTAAATAGGATTTTTTTTAACCTTGGCACTACACAAACCTGTCAATTATTTTACAGAATTATGATTCAAAATTTAAAAAGCTCCATAAATAAAAAAGACCCTCAAAACCACCTGTAAACCAGATTATCAAGGCAAAAAAAGGAAAGAGAGGTACCTCAGCTAGCAGAGGGAAGGGAAGCAGTGGGAGGACAGGGATCTGCTTTCTTTTGAATTACTACCATTTGTGTTATGACTACTGGCATCTCTTTCTTGTTGTTGTTTTTTTTGTTTGTTTGTTTGCTGCAATCTAGCTGCGATGGAAACCTTTTGAGATTCCAAAAGCTCCCCAGAAGAAGACGGATTTTGTGAGCGTAAGTTGGGGAACTATGGCATCTGAGCATACTCCCTCTCTGTTCCCCCTCAGGGGGTAGCAGGGCACATGGGATGCTCAGCATTGGACTAATAGTGCTGGGTTTGAAACATCTGGGTTTGCAGAGCACCTGGAGGAGGGGAGAGGATCATAGATTTCAAGCAACTGACAGTGGACTTGATTTTCTTCATTGTCTTTCAAGTAACATTTTTTAAAAGACCCAAGCCCCAGCTGTCCCAGATCCTTGGCTGGAAAACACCAGCTTACATGGATTTAACAAAAAAGCTGTCCCAGACCCTCAGCTGGAAAACACCAGCTTACATGGATTTTAAGAAACCCTTAATATAATAAAGAAGAGCCAACAAGTTTGACAAAAGGCCATACAGAGAAAGGCTGGTAGCAGCACTGGGAGCAGAGAGAAGGGTTGAGCCCCAGCAAGGGGGTGGGATGAGGAGACAAAAGGGACCTGCCCCTGCCCTGTTGCGCTGTCCCAGACCCTCAGCTGGAAAACACCAGCTTACATGGATTTTAAGAAACCCTTAATATAATAAAGAAGAGCCAACAAGTTTGACAAAAGGCCATACAGAGAAAGGCTGGTAGCAGCACTGGGAGCAGAGAGAAGGGTTGAGCCCCAGCAAGGGGGTGGGATGAGGAGACAAAAGGGACCTGCCCCTGCCCTGTTGCCTGCCACTCACTCCTGATGCTTTGGGTTTGCCTGTAGGGTCTGTATACCTTGTGTGGTGCTGGTGAGCCCAGAGGACGCAACGGCATCGCTGTCCATATTTATGTCTGCAACACCTCCATGATCGACAGGTCAGTGGCTGCTGCTCAGGCTGCCCCAGGCTGCCTGCACATGTATGTTTGCTTCCACCATGCTTGAGTCCTGCTGATCCCAGCATCACTCTTCCTATGCACTTTGTGGCCAAGCAAAGGTGTTTACAGTGTCCACAGCAGGTGTTTGTGAAGCAGGTTGTGCCCTATGGCCAAGCACTATGGGAGTGGGTGGGGAGCCACCAAGAGAAGGTGTGGATGCAGCAAGAGGAGATGTGTTGGATTCAGGTGCTCTCATCCCAGGGTCTGGAGCTGCTCCTCAGAGTTCACCACACACACGCAGCTTCCGATGAGCATTGCTGCTCCCTGCAGTGGCTCATTATGCAGCTTCCGATGGGCATTGCTGCTCCCTGCAGTGGCTCATTGGGGAAATCAGCACCACTCCCCACTTCACAATGGCTGATGTGCCACAAAAGCAGGGACCTGGCAGAGGTCAGAGGACATCCTGCTTCCACTTTGGGCACATTAAACCTCCTCTGCCTCCTCCACACCTGCCAGTATGCTGCATTCTCCGACCTGCAAATACCATTTCTGGGGCCCAGGGGGAGACCTCTGTCATGTCAGCCTCTCACCTCAAAACTCTCCAGCTGTGGCTGTGGTGTGCACAAATGCCTGGAGCTTACAGTACCTTGACATTCCTGTTTCCTTTTCCTTCAGATGCCTTTATAATTCAGACGGTGACTTCCTGATTGGTGAGTTGATGCTTTGACTTTTTCTTTTCTCCACATGATTCAACCAGGATTACCACCTGCCTGTCCCTTTGTTCTTCCAGAGCCTTGGGCCCTCCAGGCAAGATTTGGAGCAGAGGTTTGGTCTCACCCTCATGCCATGCATATTTGGTGGTCTGGCTGGGCCAGATGGGCTGCTGGGCAAGTTACACTGCTGCTGTGCAGCTCAGAGAGTGCACCTCTGTGCCAGACCTCAACTCTTTGAGCAGCGACCCAGCTTCCTTGGCATGGTGCTCAGGGATCATTTTCCAATGGTCCCCAGACTGGTATTAGACATGCCACATACAGAGGTTTTTTGGAAAACCTAAACCTCAGGATTTCTGAACAGTTTACAGTTAGATGCCTTTGTTGCTTCAGCCCAAGATTATTTGGCACAGCAGCTTAGGTCCCACACTCTGCCAGCCTCAGGCAACCAGACTGCCACAGTGAGCATAGAGGTTGGCACATAAAGACTGTGCATGCTGAAAAATATTCAGAATGGTATCAGAAGTTGGATATTTGCCTGTATCATTCTTGACCAAGGCACAGGAATGAACATTTCTTCCATCAAATAGCTATTAAACTGTTCTTGCTCGCTTCCCTCACTACCAAGAAGTAAAAATGCCAGAGTGGATTTTATAAATCTGCTAGTTTTTCAAGTCAAAGCATGAGTTGTCCTGCACCTGACCAGTCATGAAAAATAATGTGGATGTTAGCAAAGCATTGATTCTATCCTCAGGAATCAGGGAGAATGCTATTCCCAGACATCTCACACTGCCACAGTCATGACAAGGATGGGTATGTGCACTGTTTTACATGAACATCATGTGACAGACAGATATGGTCCCAAATATATCAAATCCTATTTATTTGGACTGTGATGCAAATCCTATGCCAAGGGGTCACAAGGTGATGGCTCACACAGGTACCTTCTGTGACAGGGATGATGGAGCTGGTCTGGAAGCTTTCACTCCAGTGCAGGCACCTTTGCTCCAAGACCTTGCATGGGAGCCTGGACCCACTGTGAAGCTGCATCAGAAAGGGCCCATTGCTCTTCCTTGGAGCCTGGATGCTCTGGCAGGGACAGAGAAGGTGGCAGTCACCATGTTACTTCAGCTCCTCCTTCTGCATTTTGTTTCCACAGTGCCCCAGCAAGGAAAACTGCTCATCACAACTGAGTTTGGGAAGATGCTAGTGGAACCCAATGAAATCTGTGTCATCCAGGTAGGGGCTGACTGCACCTTGCCTGTGGCTCTGAGCCAGATGTTGGAGCAAGCCAACTCTGGCACCCAGCTGCTTCTGGTTTGTCAGCTAAGTCCTGGGAGAATCCTAGTGTCTTCCTTTATTTTCCAGCAAGGAATGCGTTTCAGTGTGGAGGTGTTTGGAGAGACCAGAGGCTACATCCTGGAGGTGTATGGGGCACACTTCGAGCTGCCTGACCTGGGACCCATTGGTAACCAACCATCTCCTCCTGTTAGACCTACAGCGAATTTCACAGGGACAGGCATGAATTGCAAGCCCAAATCCATCCTGATATATCCTGTGTAATACATCCTCCATGCACATGATTCTTCACAAAGATACTTTCCATCCCAGCACTGTTATTACCCAGCAGAGCAAGCATCCCCCTCAAAAAAGGTGATAGCCCCATTGTCCTGAGATTCTCCTGGCTCTGAAGGGACCATTTATCCTCCACCCCCTTTTCTACTTTCTCTGCTGGTTCTGAACCTGTTCTTACCAAAAGAAACTCAAAAGGTCATCACCACTAATGCCTCATACTTACAGATTTGGCATAAACTGGAGTGATAGAATTTACCTGGTAAAAGGCAGATTTCAGAGGCAACAGATATTCTCAAAGCCCCATTTTGGATTTAATCCAGTGGGTTTTCCACCCCCACCTCTCTTAACAGGGGTACCTTGGAACTTTAGAGTGCCTTAGTGTCAGAAACTGCTCCCTCTGGAGAATTAGAAACCAATACAAATGAGTAGCACAGGACTAGGATCATCAACACATTCACATTTCCATGCTGTGCTGCCAGGGCAGATCTGCTTTCACTGAGCGCAGGTCTAGCTCTCATAAATCACAGATCCTCTCTGCCTGCTGCCTCCTGCTCTGTGCAGTGTCACAGATCATGAAGGCACAGCCTCTTGATGCTGTGACAAAGATATTGCGAGGGGGCATGGCATCTGAAGCCTTGGCACCCACAGTGTGATTTCCCAGACAGCTTTCTGGTGGTGCTCAACTCAGGTTATGTCACCTTCCTTACCTCTGGTATACTTGCCTCCAAATGTATCTTGCTGAGAAAAAACACCACCTGGTTACTGTTACTAAGATTGTCTCAGGGAAGGGAAGTGAAACTCCTCTTGTAACAGTTAAAATAGCTACAAAATCAGTACCAACAGTCGTCCACCTTCAGATTGGTGTTTTGGGGTTGATTGTTTTTCATTTCAGGTTGGGTTGGGGTTTTTTTTCCCCCACTAGACAGCATGTTTTATAGCCCTCAGTGTGATCTAAAAGACTGGCCATGCTTCAAGTAAACTGACTAGGTATTATCAATCATTAACAAGTTTGGTGTGGCACATCTGCATTCAGAGGGCATTTGCAAACATCTCACGGCCATAGCGAAACCAAAGCTGGTCATTCTTGCAGTGGAGAACTAGCTCAATTTGCATCTGTTTAATGGGACCCCACTCAAGCATCTCTTCTGTATGACATGCTGGGCACATCTGTTTTCACATCAAACCTACAGTGATTTTTCAGCTGCTTGCCTTTCAGCCAGCTGCAGCTTTCTGCCTTCACCCACTTATTGTGCTCTCTGCCTGCTCTGCTTGATTACTGATATGGTTGCCCCAGCCTGTTTTAACAAGTTTTACCATTAGCTAGTTTTTCAGACACAGCTGGACTGGCTTTGGTGAGGATTTTTTTTCTTTTTTTTTTTTGGTCTCCAGAAGGCAGGAATCTATTATAAGGTTTACTTTCTGGAGAAAAGAAAATGAGTGCACTTGCCTGTAAACCTTTTCAGGAGGTGGTAATTAATAAGAGCTCCTCTTCTCACCACCTACCCACCTTTCCCTCAGAGACCAGGATCCATTGTATTTCAGTCTGACTTTATTTTAACTTCACTTTTTACTTGAATAAAATGACAGCTGGGGAAAAGCAATGACTGTTAAACCTTAGCAGCAGGTAGTAATGTCTGCATTTTTATCCAAGAAATTCAAAACCACTTTGTAACTGTAATACTAACGAGAAGAAGAAGAATGCTCCAGCACCCGTATGGTGCTTTGCACTTTGAAAATGCACTCCTCACACTAAGCAACCCCTCAGGATGCTCAGAGTCTGTAGGTATCACTGTTTTATTCCCTTTTTGTAAGCATTCAGAAATGTATTTGGCCTCCTCATGACTTACCTCAGAACTTCTGCATGGCTAAGCATCCAGACAGCAGGATGTCCAGGAACACAGAGAAATTCACCCTCTGTTTTCCACTTAAATCCTAGTTGTTATATGCCTTTAATTGAGGATGATGTACTAATCTTGTTCAGAAGGCAACCTGGGGAGACCTGTCTTAGTCACAAAGGGAGCACAGGCTTAAATGCTAGGACATATTACAATCACCTAGTTGTAGGAGCATAAGAAGTACATGACCATTTCAGGTTTCGTGGTGGGCCAAGAAGCAGTAAGGTCATTCACAATGCAGAAGGGCATCCAAAAAGCCAGGAATTTACATGGGCCTCTCTTGTTGCTAGCAAGTTGCCCAAAGAGCTCTGGCATCTCTCTTTCTTTCACAGGAGCCAATGGCCTGGCCAACCCACGTGACTTCTTGGTGCCCGTTGCGTGGTACGAGGACCGCCAAGTGCCAGGGGGCTACACTGTGATTAGCAAATACCAGGGCAAGCTGTTTGCAGCCCAGCAGGTGAGGAAGCCTGGGAGAACAGGTAACACTGAAGAGCAGTGACTGCCAGTGCATGGCCTGGGATATGCAGCTCAGTAGCATGAATGTAGTCTCAGAAAGTCCTGTTGGGTTATATGGAGCAGAACCGAGCCCTTGTCTTCTTGGGTCATTCATCTTCTCAGCTAAAGCTCCTCAGTCTGGGAAAAAAGGTGTTTGGGAAGACTTGGTTGCCCAAAGACTCAGCAATGGT